CCTACAAATTAAATCCAGTATTTGTATTTTTATTTTTCCATGACATTTACATTTTACTTGCACGTATTATAATTTCATTTGTCACGACATATCCAATTACTACCACACCACCATCATTCTATTTCCACATCATTCATTCCATTTTGCCACAACATTATCATTTATATATACCATCACTACCTTTACTTAGGTGACAAAGTAAAGTGTCTTGACAAACCTATTTGATTTCCCTAATTCCCTGTGGAGACGATACTCGACTTATCACTTTATTACTTGTTCGATTGTGTATACTTGCACACATATCCGCACCCATATTTAGTACTCACAAAGAACGGACACTCTCGTAGCAATTTTCATATGAGTCTCAATAATGAATGGTTTGTGACGTTTAAAGTTGTATCTATATATGATGTATTTTTTGGAAATATTATCCCTTGTAAAGTCGTAGGTATTGGCACAATCAAGATTAAGATATTCAATGAGATTGTTTGAACAATTGATAATGTGAGACATGTTCTAGATTTGAGTAGAAATATAATTTCGTTAGGCACCCTAAATTCAAAAAGGTACAAATTCTCCAGTGAAGGTGAAACTATACAAATGTGCAAGGACTCTCTTGTTGCGATGAAAAGGGCAGAGAAAGAATGTCAAGTTTTATGTTCTACATGGTTCAACAGTTTTCAATAATGCAGCTGATGTTTTCTCCCAGTGTCAAATAACGTTGTCATTGGTAAAAAAACATCTTAACTAAATTAAGCAAAGGAATATTTTTTGTTGAACAAAATAACCATAGGCAGAATGGTTATGTGAAGCAGAAAAGAGTTCAATTTTGTAGGCATAACGAAATTTGATGATATAATTATCATCGATGATATGGATCATGTTGTACATAATGTTGCTCGTGGTGATACATTTGTGAGTAAAGTTGGCGCTTATGATAATCATGTCGATGTGAAGACTAAATCCAAGCTTAGAAAAAGCTTGAATTCGATCAATGTTCATTACTGAAGATTATCTCTTTGATAGGTGATGTTAAAGAACTAGAGAACTTATTCGTTGAAGCGAAGAATTGTTTTTTTATGTGTTTGGGTGCCTCGTCGAATTTGGGTGTTTTGTGTCGAAACCTTTGCACTTTCAGAATTCGAGTCAAGATGAAGATTTATTAGAGTTTGACTCGAATTCAAAGTGACACAAATTAATTAATTTATAAATTTTGAAAAGTAAGAAACCTAGTTTAATTAAAAGTAGGTAATTTTATTAAAGTAAATTTCTACTTTATTTATTTTACTTTATAATAAAGTGTCAATCCTTATAAATAGATACTAAGGTTAATGGCTATATATCATTTTTTTATTCAAAATCCTTGAGTTTTCTACATAAATCTTATTGTTCTTGTATTTTCCGATAATCATTTCGGTATTATAACATTTCAAAAAAATAAAGGTCGCAATTCGATGTGAAAGATTCCGGGACAGTTATCGTGGTCACGCCGATGTATATGCGAACTTTCCAAACCCCGTATTTGATTGATGTGATGGACTCGCTCATGCTGGTTCCCTACAATCTGGTTTGGATTATAGTGGAAGCTGGTGGTGTCAGCGACGAAACATCGTCGCTTATTTCTGAAACCGGTTTGAAAATTATTCATTTCCAATTCATTCAACGGATGCCGAATTCCTAGGACAAACAAATATAAATTGGAGTCCTAAATGCGCCTTCATGCTTTAAATAATCCCTTGTTCAATGCAATTCTAATTCAGATCATCGTTAAAATTTATGAATTTTAGAATTAAGTTGTTAGAAAGAAGTATGGAATTGATTGAGTTTTCGTGTTACTTATGGGAACAAGAGAGAAGAAATTGGACGGAATTATTATGCTTGCTTATGAAAATAACATACATTGTATGGAACATTTCAATGAGATCCAAAATGTGAAATGGTTTAGAGCTGTTTCAGTTGGAATACTTGCTAATACTCACGAGATGGTGGGTCATAAGGAGGAAGACAAAAATCCGAGAAAGTCGGTTCAAGGCCCACTAGTAACGCCTCTAATATGTTGGCAGGATAGCATACTTTTAATACATTTTCCCATTCGGGGAAAAGTGCAATTTATATCGATGATCGAACAACCGTGCTGCTGATGAAGTTAGAGTGGTCGGGATTTGTTTTGAATTCCAGGTTGCTTTAGAAAGATGGCGGCGATAGGCCGAAATGGATTAAGGATATTGATATGTTGAATGGAGATATTGAGAGTCCCCTGGGTTTGGTTGATGACCCTTGGATGGTGGAGCCACTCGGGAGCTGTGGACATCGAGTTTTGCTCTGGTGGCTTCTAGTTGAAGCTTGTACCGATAGAAAATTGTGTTTCTTTTCTTGTCATATCATTTAGGTTTTTGCTAACAATGTTCTATTGATTGAAGGTTAGAGATAGATACAAATTAATATCAGACTGACTGAGTGAAAAATTTGATGGCAGGGAATTATTTGATTGGATTTGCATTCATTGGTCAATTGGTCTCGACTGTTGGGATGCATCAACTCGCAACGAACCTTCTATGCATCAGTTTATCTGGCTTGGTCTCCTAATCTGCCTTCTGATCGTTAGTTTGTACATCATGCAGATGGGTGATTGAGCCACCTTTGAAGATCACGGTCCGGTCAAAACACACTCCACGACCAGATGCTTCCCCCTAATGAAAAACCAGCAACGGGCATCCGAGAGTCAACGGAGAAACATAGCACAAAGAGGACATCCGTATCAAAACGTCCAAGTAAAAAAGGCATGAAACAAGAACAGATACAGAGGTTTCAACAAGGCATTATCAATAAAAATAAAATCCTTACTAAGATGCAGTGAATGTAAACGATCTTTATCAGTAAATAACGAGAGGCACATGTTGGGGTTGGCCTAGAGTTTCAACTAGTTCTTTTACCTTTGATTCTTTTCTTTTCTGGGTGATTAATAATCTGCATCTTTGAGGTAGTATGTCAGCTAACGCCTTCCTCTCATATGCTTGCATATTCACACGCTCTGGGTTTACAACAAACAAACAACAAAACCCTATTCCCATATGCAATGGGGTAAGGGGGAGGTAGGGTAGTAGGCTGTCCCCAACGCCAGGTTGAGAGCAGCTTCCGTGGAAAACCTCCGGCAGTCAGAAAATTAAAAATAAAACTAAAATGCAATGCATGTATATATAAATACATAGTTGAAACAATCTTCATATGCAGTCTTCATATGCGTGTCTGTAATGGGAAGTAATCCCTGTAAATGAATCCATGCGTAAACATCTCTGCATATAGACAGAAACGTAAGACCCGACAAAATTTAAAAAGAGGAAACATGACGAGAAGGATACACAGAAAGTCAACGATAGCAAACAACGAGAAGGAATAAAGTCAAATGGGTTAAAACCTAAACTAAGGCAACACTACTCCGCTACCCTAGTTCTAAGCCTTCATAAATTCCAATGACAGAAACGTAAAAAAAAAGTCATAGAAATTACTACAAAGGCATTAAAAGAAGACAGAGATGATACACCCTATGGATGTGACCCGCACTACTCGGCTACCCTGGTCTTAAGTCTCCATACTTTCCTATCAGAGGTCATGTCCTCGGTAAGGGCTAAATTCTTCAAATCAGATCTCAAGCAGTCTTCCCACTTCTGCCTTGGTCGTCCTCTCCTTCTGGCACTGTCGACTGTAATCGACTCTACCCTCCTAACTGCATCCGATGGTTGTCGCCTACGGACATGCCCAAACCACCGTAGTATTCCCTCTCTCAATTTTTCGGATACAGGCACCACCCCCAAGGACATCCTAATAGCAGAGTTTGATGTCATGTCCCACAGAGTCCTACCACATGCCCATCGAAGCATTCTCATTTTTGCGGCCTCCATCCTCCTTACATGATCCTTCTTGATTGCCCAACATTCTGATCCATACAGCAGCGCTGGTCTTATTGTCATTCTATAAAATTTTCCCTTAAGTTTTAGAGACACATTTTTGTCACACAAAACTCCAGTAGCAGCCCTCCGCTTTAGTCATCTCACCTTTATATGGTGTGTAACGTCATCATTTACTAATACAAATTATAGATTTATCTCAACTCATTGAATTTTTGGTGAATACAACATCAAGAATAAAAATATTTTGGGTAAACCACATATTTAGTTAGCTAACTATTTCCATAATTGTATTTTGGTCATCTAACTATTTTTTTTTCAAAATCATCACTAAATTTTCATTTGTCATTTGTTGTTAAAAAATTAATAGTGATGTTGTCGTGTCAATGCCACGCTATTATTGAAAAAAATTAAAAAAATTTCACATCGATACTTTTATTTTTTAATGTTTGGCGATAAAAATGGAATAAAAACATAAATTTAATGACTAATTTTTTTAAAAAAAAATTGATTGACTAAAATGAAACTCCAATAAAAGTTTGGTGACTAAATATGTAGTTAACGTACATATTTTTTTTATTTCATTTCTAAACTATTTTGTCTATCGTAAACTAGAAAAGATTTAAAAAAATAAAAATAAAAATAAAAAGGGGATCTATCGCGGAAAGTAGTGTGTAAAGATGGCAACGGATCGGATTAGAATAAAGTTTTTGGTAAATTCGATCCGATTCGAAAATATGCATCTTTTACCTGAATCCAACTCGACCAAATTTTTTATATCTCCATCCGACTCGATTCGACCCGAAAAATATATACCTTCTACTCGACTCCAATCCGATCCGAAAAATATATACCCTCTACTCGACTCTGACCCAACCCGAAAATTTTATATCCTCCATTCGACTCGACCTGATCCGAAAAATATATACCCTCCACCGGACTCAGACCCGACCCTAAAAATATGCACCCTCCACCCGAATCCAACCCGACTTGAAAATTTTATATCCACAATCTGACTTGACCCGACCCAAAAAAATATATACCCTCCACCCGAATCCTCCCTCATTGTTCTTCACCCTCCTCAAATAACCAACCATAGCCAAATCTCCCATGGCAACATCCATTTCCACCCTTGTTTTCCTTCTCTTTTTCACCTTATCCTCTGCTTCGGACATATCATCCTCAACCTGGAGAACCGATGATGAGGTGATGAGCTTGTACCAAGCTTGGGTAGCTAAACATGCCAAAACATACAACACCATAGGAGAGCAACAGAACCACGTCGACATCTTTAAGGATAACTTGAGATTCGTCGATGAGCATAACTCGAAAAACACGACATTCAAGCTCGGCTTGAATAAGTTCGCCGATTTAACTAACCAAGAGTACCGTGCCTTGTTTTTGGGTACCAAGAGTGACCCTAAACGTCGAGTCATGAAATCCAAAAACCCCAGCCGACGTTACGCTTCCAACGTCGGCGACATCTTGCCAGACTCAGTAGATTGGAGAGTCCATGGTGCTGTTTCTCCGGTCAAGGATCAAGGGTCTTGTGGTGGGTTCAATTTCCATTTCATTTCAAGTTCTTTCTTTTAAAAATCTAAAACAAACCCACTGTTTCAGGAAGTTGCTGGGCATTCTCAACAATTGCAGCGGTTGAAGGCATAAACAAAATCGCCACCGGCGAGCTAATCTCTCTTTCAGAACAAGAACTGGTGGACTGTGACAGATCCTACGACGCCGGGTGCAACGGAGGCCTAATGGACTATGCCTTCCAATTCATCATCGACAATGGTGGCATTGACTCTGAAAAAGACTATCCTTATCTTGGAGCTGATAACCAATGTGATCCAACCAGGGTCAGTTTCCGAAGTTCAATTCTAACACAGTCATCACTCGTTTGTAAACGGTTAGAGATTGATGCCCTGTTTTTTGTAACAGAAGAATGCTAAGGTTGTCAGCATTGATGGGTACGAGGATGTTGTTCAATATGATGAGAGGGCACTAAAGAAGGCTGTAGCACATCAGCCTGTGAGTGTGGCCATTGAAGCCGGTGGCAGAGCTTTCCAACTCTATGAATCGGTAAAGTTCGAGCCATAACTTAAACATAATGCAGCAAAACTGAATCCTTGTGTTAACTCAGTTGTGGTTGTTTGAAAAGCAGGGAGTTTTCAGCGGTGAATGTGGATCGGCATTAGACCACGGTGTGGTTATTGTTGGATACGGGAGGGATGATGAGGGTAGAGATTATTGGATTATGAGGAACTCGTGGGGCAGCGGCTGGGGTGAAGATGGGTACATAAGGATGGAGCGAAACGTGGATGTGTTTACCGGAAAGTGTGGGAGTGCGATGGAGGCTTCCTATCCAGTTAAGAATGGGCCAAACACCATCAAACCATACTGGAGCAACGAAAACACTAACAAAATTAGCAGTGCTTGACGAATCTTTGCGTTTTCTGTTTTGAACCATTGGAGAAGACAAGCTGCCATCTCTATTTCATCGTTTATTGAAGTTATAAAAGTGTTTTGTGCATAGATTTTTCATTTATGGAACCAGCAACTGGGTATTGTTCTGATTAATGCATTTTAGTTATTTGGCAGCAACTTCTATCTTAATTAACACAACACAATTACATGAACTTCATACGATCAATAACCAGATTAGTACATTTGAAAATTAGGACGCTTGGCTTTGTTGGTTTTCTGAGTGTTGTTTCCTTTTACATAGAATTTTGCTTGTACTTCTTATATTATTCTCAATAATGTTACAAAATTTTATTAGTTGATTTATGTAAAAATTATGAAAATAACCGAAACCCAAGATTTTTTTTGTCAATATGAAGGTCTATGGAAACGTTGTTCTTCACTAACTTCTTGTTTCATATTCGAAATTTATAGGGGTTTTTTTTCTAACAACATTATTTGTAATTTTTGAATCAAACGTTCGTTTCCGAGTAATATATTTTATCATTACAGCTAACATTTATTTATATTTTTCGCTAATTGAATAAAATATAAAGTTCAAGGACTAAATTGAAAAAATAAAAAGTTGTTATCAAAAAGAAGAATTGAAATTCTAAAAGAAAAATTGAAATTATATAAGTGTTGTATGGTGGTAAACGATTAAATGAGCACTTGTTCAAATTTAGTAAAAAATAGAGTTAAAACAGTAAAAAAGTTGAAACAAAATTATGTAAACTTTAGAATTAAGTTGTAAAAGGAGGAAAGTTGTTGTCATAAGATAAATTAAACACCTATAAGTATTCTATGATAATTGAAGAGTATGTAGTTTAAATTTGATAAAAAAATATTTAAAACAATGAAAGAATTGAAGAGACAAGAAAATTAGGTAGAGATCAAAGTTTAAACATAATGTACCAAAATTAAATACTTAGTTAAAGATCAAAATGATTAGTTAAAGATCAAAATGATGTTTAATTTTATTTTTTAAATTATTTAAAATTTTAAAAATCTAAATTAAATATTAAATTTACTCAAACAACTGAAATAACTCAACTACAATAATCGAAATAAAAAAAAATTGATTTTGGTAGAGACTCGCTTCTAGTTCAAAACGCAATATCCAGTTAACAAATAGTTCATATAGTTTGCTTTCGAGTATTATATTTGATACTAATGTACATTCTATTTGGAATGGATAAGTTGATCAAGAAAAAGAAATATTTTGAAATTCATCACATTTTTAATGCTAGTGGTTCTGTTTAAGATTATTATAAAGTGGCAAGTAACCTGCTGCTGCACGCTTTGAAAGTCAGCTTCAAAAAAAATTGTAAACTCCAATTAAAATACAAATATGCTATGCGGGTCGGTCCGAATTAATCAAAATAAAATCTTAAAATTTGGAGGATAAAAAAATACATCTATTGGAGGATAAGTAACGAAACATCATACCTAAAAGGCCATCATTAAGCAAAGGTGGGTTCCCATATTTTGTTGAGATCTCTAAATAGCATTAAATTAATAAATAATACCATTATTCATTTACAACTGTATGTATTTATGACTAATCATATCATATCTCCTGGGAATTACAATATCCAATTCATTTCCAGAATTGCTTTGTTTACCGATTACAATGGTTGCTGTGTTCAACAAAGAGCTCCTGAGTTGGTATCTAATCACACTTAAACTCAGGGAAACTGTGGAATCTGGAATTCCCAGATCATCTACAGGGACCACCAGATCTCTTGAGTTGCCAGATGATTGTGAACAACAACAGCATCAGCACAAACAGCAATCTGATTCCTTGCAGACCCCGATCAATGAAGATGTCGAAAATTGCGGAGAGTTCGACCCTTCGCCGGAATTGGAGTGGATTATATCAATCCAAGAAAAGCTGGATCAGGCACGGCAAGATGATGCAGCAGGTTCCTGGGAAAGGTTGAGCATCTATAGAGTCCCTCACTATCTAAGAGAAGGTGACGTCAAATCTTATGTGCCTCAAATTGTTTCTTTGGGACCTTACCATCATGGCAAGAAGCGCCTACGCCAAATGGATCAGCACAAGTGGCGCTCTCTTCACCGTGTTTTGAAGCGTACAAACATAGAGATACAGGTGTATCTTGATTCCATGAAGGAATTTGAAGACAGGGCTCGAGTTTGTTATGAAGGAACCATCACTCTTGGCAGCAACGAGTTTGTGGAAATATTGGTTCTTGATGGCTGCTTTGCGCTTGAGCTCTTCCAAGGCGCTGCTGTCGGATTCGAACGTCTTGGCTACGCCAGAAACGATCCGGTTTTCGCAATGCGAGGCTCGATGCATGCTATTCATAGAGATATGATAATGTTGGAGAATCAGCTTCCTCTGTTTGTGCTTGATAGGCTGCTGGGGATTCAGCTTGGTGAGCCTGACAAGAAGGGTAAGGTTGCAAAATTGGCTATAAGATTCTTCGACCCTTTAATGCCGACGGATGAGCCAATAACTAAGAGTGAGATGAACAAATTGGGATCCTCTCTGAGGCATACAGACAGCTTTGACCCTTTTTCCGATCTCGGCGGCCTTCATTGCCTTGATGTTTTCAGAAGAAGTCTCTTAAGCTCAGGAGCCAAACCGAAACCTCGAGTTTGGCTCAGGAAAAGATCGAACTGTTGACGAAAACGGGTAAAGAAAACGAAAGAACACGAGAATTTTACGAGGTTCGGCAATGTGCTTACGTCCTCGGTGCCTAGGCGGCGCTAGAATTTTATTCAATGATATTTTAGGTCTAGGTTACATCTCTATTTATAATAGAAAACCCTGGTACATAATTACAAAATCAACCCTGTACCGTACCGCGGGGCCTACGCCCCCGCACCCCCAACCCACATAATTTATAACCCCACAACGAGACTTTCTTTGTAAGGACAGTTGATGTTCGCTTCGCTCACTCCGCTCCATCTCCTGTCATCTTTACTGGTATATTTATGAGCCATACCTAACAAATCTCCACCTTAACGAATATCCTGCCCCTTGGAAACTTCAATGTGGGTTGGGTTACCTTGCTTCTTTAACAACTCGAAACATTCAACAAGTCCAAGCAGTGCTTGAACTTGTCTGTCGTAACTGGCTTGGTGAACATATCAACGGCATTCTCATCAGTATGTACCTTCTGAAACAAAACTTCTCCAGATGCAACCAACTCTCTGATCTTGTGGAACCTTACATCAATATGTTTAGTTCTAGCACGATACACCTGATTCTTAGCCAAGTGAATAGCACTTTGATTATCACAAAGCAACTGAACACCCAACTCCTTCACTAAACCAGTAAGCCATAAAGCTTCTTTTGCAGCTTCAGCCGCTGCCATGTATTCAGCTTCAGTTGTAGATAGTGCCACGACAGATTGAACAGTAGACTTCCATTGCGCAGGCAGCAGTTAATCCATTGCGTATCGGAGCTCAGAGAGGCCTGCATTAAGTTCAGGAAAAGGAAGACCGATCGGTTCTGGGACATAAAGTTCAAGAACGGCATTCTACGCATTCCTCGCCTCTTGATACATGATGGAACCAAGTCCCTTTTCCTCAACCTGATAGCATTTGAGCAATGCCATCTTGATTGCAGCAATGATATCACTTCCTATGTGATATTCATGGATAACTTAATCAACTCAAATGAAGATGTGGGATACCTCCATTACTTTGGCATCATCGAGCATTGGCTCGGCAGTGATGTGGAAGTTGCCGACCTTTTCAACCGCCTCTGTTCAGAGGTTGTTTTCGATATCAACAACAATTATCTTTCCCATTTGTCTGAAGATGTGAACAGATACCACAACGATAGGTGGAACGCTTGGCGTGCGGCCTTGAGACACAGATACTTCAACAATCCTTGGGCCATCGTCTCATTGTTTGCTGCTTGTATCTTGCTGGTGCTTACTTTTGCTCAGACATTTTATGGTGTTTATGGATATTACAGGCCAAATTCCTGAATAAACAGTAAGGCTCCTCTTGTCTTCTCTCTATTCTGTTTGAAAAAGGTTGCAGTTATATATACATCAATGATTTCCATTCATTTCTTCAAAGATTAGGCTAAGGAGCTTTATTCTTTAAGCCAGAATATGATGATATACTGAATGTCTTTGTATTGAATACTTAAAATACAAAAGTATGAGAAAATGGGGTAGAAGGGAATGTTGTTTTTTTTAAGAGGTTTTGGATTCTAGCAGTTGTATCAGTGTGTTGTTAATAAGATAAGAAACTTATGATAAATACATCTTAGAGAAGATAACACCAATCAAGCATTGTAGTTGGTTTATATTAAATTTGCTTGTGAATTATAGATTTGAAGTTGAAATTCCCTCTTGTTCCTTGGGGTCAATGCTTTTTAGTTGTTACAAGAGAAAACTGAAAGGAAGAAGTTGTCAACAATTGTTATTTATGTCAAGGCTGCCACCATTTATTTGACGAAAAAATATGTTGTCTCTAGGCTTGGTATGTTTAAGTGGCAGCAAGGCTTTTTCTTTAGAAATAGCCTTTGTTTAAAAAGTAAGTCCTTAAAGACGGCAAAAGTGCTCAAATAAGGATGTGGGAATGTTTAATTCCCAATCTAATGCACTCATCCGATTAATTTCTGATCTAGGGTATTTTCTACAGGATTTTGGGATCTCTCGGCATCTTCAGTGGTGTTGATTATTTCTTGGGATCTCTAGGCATCTTCAATTGAAATCAAATTGAAATCAGGAAAAAAAAATTGGCGTTTGTACACAAATATCACTTTAACATAAATTAATTACTTATTAGGTACTATTTAAGAATATTTTACGGATCTAGCAAAATTTTAAATACTTTCTATAAAATTATTCCTGCATTAAATTACACAATACAATTATGTCTACCAATTACCACTTGACACTTTCTGATGCGTTTTTGACCCTTTCAAAATCCTATACGTATAGTATATTCTAGGAAAACTTTGAGGGTAAGTAATTTAAAATATAAATAATTTTATAAAATATTATGGATCATAATCATCATTTTGAAAATAATTTTGCAAAAAGGTACGATACATGCACCACATAAGATTTTGAAAAATATTTATAAAAGTTTTATAACTAATATATATTTTTCAAAATCCTACGCGGTGAATGTGTCGTGCCTTTCTGAAAAATTATTTTTCTAAATCCTAGAATATTGTATACGTATAGGATTTTGAAAGGGTCAAAAACACATCAGAAAGTGTCAAGTGGTAATTGGTAGACATAATTGTATTGTGTAATTTAATGCATGAATAATTTTATAGAAAATATTTAAAAATTTACTAGATCCGTAAAATATCCTTAAATAATTATGTTTCAAACACCCTTTGAGATAATATTCCCAATCTAACACCCTTTGCAGAAAGGCGCGACCATGCACCTTCCATCCCACCGACCCAACTGACTGTTCACATCATCCATCCCATCCTATAAATACCCCACTCTCAACTATTTTCACCACACCAAATCGTCTCAAATCCTCTCAAAAACCAAACATCGTTCAAATTTTATTTATAAGGTATATTTTGTTATATTTAATATTTTGTTAGTATTTTATTTAATTATTTAATTATTTTATTTTTTTTGCTGTTATAAAATGGAAAGCGGTCTGCTTTGTTTGGATGGAAATCTGTATAAGTTAAAGGAAACAATGATGTTGGATATCTCTACTGAAGCGACGACATTCTTCTAGTTGAGAGGATTGCTATGAATGTTTACGAGTTGAGAGCGTATTTATAGTCCAAAAAAAAGTTTAAAAGCGGTGCATGGGCCGCTACTATCTGCAAAGGGTGTTAGATCGAGAATATTATCTTAAAGGGTGTTTGAAACGTAAATATTTAAGGAAAAAGTGATTTTTTGGTAAAATCGCCAAAAATGCACAGAAAAATATTTTAGCCCAAAGACGCCGAGATATCCTGGGGTCTTTAGGTGATTAATGTAGAAAATACGTTAGATGAGGAAATGATGTTGAAAACACGTTAATTTGGAAATTAAACACTTTTTCCCCTTAAAGACACAAGTATTTTAAAATACGTTTTTTTCATTTTATATGAAAGAAATGAGAATCAATCAATTTTTATTATATTATTTTGATAAAAGAATTAAAAGAGTGTCCTTTTAATAATTTAACCCAAGTTTGACCCATCAATCATAAACTGGACTATAATTGACTTCCACAAACTAACCAACTTATTTACCCTATAACCTCCTGATCCAACAGAATTCATAACAACCCAACAATATTAAAACTAAGGGTAAATTGCAGGTTTGACAACTAAACTTTAATCCGTCTCTTATTTTACTCACTGTATTTTCAACTTCTTCATTTTAATCACTAAACTTTTTTACATTGAATTTTTTAGTTACTCCATGATTTTCTCCTTAACTCTACGGTGATGTGGCATTTCTTATTATTTTTAACCCATTTATATTTTATTAATAATACTTTATATATTTTTTGTTATTCCCTTATTTGCCACCCACATTCTCTTCCTCGTTAGATTTCATTAACTTTGTTTTCCCTTCCCCGCTTCGTCGTCACCTTTCGATTCCTCCAATAGAAAACTATCCAATCTCACAATTAAAACCAATCACACCCTAACAGCTTTCGGACGAAGGCTGGCCACGCAATAATCGCCATTACTAGGTGGTGACAAATCTTCAACTTTACTCTCAAAAACCCCTTTGACAGAAGTCCCCTCTTAGAGAAATCAATTACCAAATTCAACCACTTCAAAAAACCGCCCGCACAATTCATTAATCAAAATCTCGTAAATTGCCAAGGAAAATTCTCACCCAATCAAACCTTGTCGTTAGCCATCTCAATAGCTTCATCAACCTTCATTTCCTTAAAAAAAATAAACTAGAATCAAAGTATTAAAACTAACCACATTAGGCCAACAACCTTTCTCCTCCAACTCCCTAAACAACTTCAACCTTAATTCAAAATTCTCATTCCTACAATAACCACTAATCAGAGTATTAAAAGTACACACATTCAACTTCACTCTATCTTTTTTCATCCTCTTATAAATTTCAAGCCTCCTCAAAATTTTCAATTTTAGACGCACATTAATAAAAACATTGTAATTAAAAAACCAGGCCTTTCATCGATCAATTTCTTCATGGTTTTGAAAGTAAAAACTATATTCAATTTCCTAGATTTGTAAAGCACATCAGAATAATCTTAAGAGAAGTGTAACACCCTAATCCAGTACAACCTAAAGACTGATGGATTAGAATGCCACACGGAGCCACCTAAGTGACTAACCCGAAAAATTTCGTTTAAAATTATATTATAAAATTGATAGGGAAGTGGTGGAGGATTAATGAATGTTGCTCTTTTTGAAGAATCAAGGCAACAAGATTAGAATAAGATAAACAAAAGATAAAGAAATTGAAAATGAAATAAGATAATAAAGAATTCAAAAGATCTCCCTTATGAAGATGAACGGTAAAGATGATTGATGGTGCAGATGGATAAGTGTCTTATCGAACCCTCCTAGTCAAAATGAAAAGGCAAACTCGATAATATGGCTCTAACCAACCCTCCTAGTTGTGATGAAAAGATAAATTGGAGTGTGAAGATTAATCTCCTCACAAGAACTTGAAAGAACTCTAGGAGAAGAAGCTTCGAAGGCACAAGACAATCAACACTTGCAAAAACGAACTCTCGTTGTATTATTAATCAAAGAAACATGTTTTATAAAGTTGAATGAAGCCTCCTTTATATAGGGGATGAGTTCTAAAGGTCCTAAATAACTAATGAATAAAATAATAACAAACTAAACATGTCTTAACTCTAATTCCTAAAAAATAATAATAAACTAAGAATAATGTTTTATTTCAACCTTAATTCCTAATAAAATAATAAATATAATCCTAAAAGATAATGAATCATCCTATGTTAAATTATATTACAAATAATCAATAAAAATTTTGAATATTCGTAATATTTACAAAATCCCGTATTAATTCCGTGTAGGATTTTCTGCATGCACTGTCTTCACTAAAATGGTCATATATTGAGTTCCCGATATCAGATTGATTCAATTCAAGAACCGTTGGAAATATAAGAGACATTCCATAGTATCTCCATAAGACATGTTGACCAAATATTAGCAGGATACCATTCAAAAAGTCATCGTAAGTATGCTCATGTTATGGTCTTCTTTTCAAAGGCTTGGATGAGTGAATCATTTGGAAGAGTTATTATTTCTTCCTTTGATGTGAGCCTTGTGATGAATGTATCATCCTCCCTTTATTAAAAAATATTCAACCTCGAATCTAAAACATTAAAGGGAGCAACATTAGAGTCATTTAATGATTCATTCACATTATGCTTACCGAATAGATATGCTTTGAAACTTCGAGACTTTGCTCTTCTAATAGGTTCGAGTAGAAACATTACTCCAAAGAAACATGTATTATCATTATGGACTCTGGTGCATGTATCATTCCCCCACTCCTCAAAAGGATTCGTCCTCGAATCTAAAAATCCAAGATAAAGAGAATTAGATGTGTTGAAAGAAAAACTTGTGAAACATTTACCAGGATCAATGTGATTTGTCTTTATGTGTTTTAGTCGAGGTTTCTTCTTTGCAGGGACTGATTTCTTGTAGTCTTGAAATCTTCTTTTTCATACAAGTCTTGTAATCTGATATTTAGGTTGAAATTCAACATGACGCCGGCTACTGTTGACTTTCTTTATGATTTCTTCATATATTCTCTCCATGGTTTGACTCGTGTGTGGTGAGAATGAGTGTTGAAAACCCATGTCAACTAGTATTTTTAAGTAATCCCTCAAGTCTCCCAAGTGTGGTTCATGAATTAAGAATTCCCGGGAGGAGATTTATGGACTGCAGAACATTCGTGGTAGTGCATCACCTATTGTGTTTTGCTTACCTTGTAAAAATGAGAAGAAGTACGTTACAATATCATTAAAATGAGTAATAAAACACTTACCTTTGGACTCTCGTAAATCGTGACTCTTCATTGATATGGCAT